GGAAGCTTTTCAACAGGGCAGGATTTGTATGACACATTTGTATGTCCTAGTGCCAGCACACAGCAAGCAAGGAGTCTGACAGCATTTTCAGGCACTGGGGGTGTTTGCAGATAAATGATTCATGGCTTCAGTTCTGATGCTCAATTTACTAGTAAGAAAATAAAGGGAGGGGGTTGCCTTATTTTCCTGAGACACAATAAACCTGCTGGCCATCCTTGCTCTTGTTTTTATGATCTGTTTGCTGAATTTAGTTATTTGCATAACTCTTCAGGTGTGTTGTGGCATTTGCCAGTGGAGCCTCTTGAAAGAAGGAGTGACTGCAAACATACATATGTGGCTTGGTGGTCTTCGGTTCCATAGTTCACCTGCTGGTAGTGAAAGGAGCAGGCCTCTGGGAATATAGGTGGCTGGAGCACCCATTCTGTTCAAAACCAAGTGACCCCAAGCTCCTGGAAATGGTCCTGATTATGGCTTGGGCAGAGTGCATGTTCTCAGGATAGGTTTACCTCTTGCACACAGGCCTTGAAAGTGGCCTCAAAAGTTTGTCACTCCATCTCTGGGCAGGTTCAGCCACACGTATCTCACTTCCTTCTCTGTTTCAGAGATGTGCTCTGACAGATGTTTCCCTGCAGACCGTGCCACAATTGCTGCATGCACTCTGTTGGAAAGTTGTCCTAGTAGGAGCTGACCACCAAGGTGGTTCAAAGAGATTAGCCATAAAATAAAACATTCTGTTGTTTATATTGAAGGAATGGGCCTCATGATGAGGAAGCCAGTGTTGGACACATACAGGATGTGCCTGTGTCCTGCTCTGAGCTGGCAGTTTGTACTGAATTTCTACCTTCCATTAGCATTTTTTGACCTTCAGTGGAAAAGACCTTTAGAGACCTTCTTTGCTCCCTTTGTCCCCCAAAACCAATAGAGATGACAGGAATTGGGAGTAAGGAAGTGTATATAATACACTTTTCCAAAAGAAACTACAATTGAGACATTCTTCAGCCTTGCCAATCCACTCAAAAATTACTTACTGGGCTCCCCAGTGTTGGAAGACATAAAAATTACCATGCTTGTAGATAGGGTTGAGTTGGCTTCTCTGAAATAAGTCCTATTTTATAATTGCATCTTTTAAAGCCAAGACTTTTCTTTCACAGTGGAGGCTGGGATTCCCATGTAATGACATATAAATGCTGCTTTTTGAAGAAAACACCACTTTGGGCTAGAATGTATGTGTTAAGGTCAGTAACAGCATGTCATTTAATGCCAAGGAACCTTGGGAGATAGAAACCCATCAGGAGTTCTGTTGATGAGGAAAGCAGGTACTAAAACTGTAGGATTAGGCTGATTTAGGCAATGATTTGAATTTAGGTGTCTGTTACAGCATTATCACCTGCAGTTCTCATTTATTCATATAAATGTGCTTTTCTGCAAGCTCTACCTGCAACCAGGCTTGATGGGGAGGTTCCAGGATAAGTGCTGGCAACAGATTCCTCAGTGTCTGGGTAGAAGAGACCTTTACTGTGTGGATCTGCATGTTCAACTGACATGGACAGGGGGTAGGTGAAAAGCATGTCTTCTGCCCTGGAGCTGATCTCAGAGCTTCGAAAAGAACTCTCGAATGCTAATTTAGTGCTTTCTTGGAAACATCCTCTTTGTGACTGAGAATGGCATAGTCTACATTTATACATGACGTTTTTAACAACAAAAGGAAAAGCTGGTGAGAGAGTGGTGCAGTGTGCAAGAGTATTAGGAACCAGGATGCAGGAAAGTGTTAATTCCTTTTGGAAGAAGCGAGTTTGTCACCAGGGTGAGCGGAAGGTAAGGAGGATACAAAGGATTCATTTTGCAGAGAAGAGAGGGACAGATATAGTTGGGATTTTCACCTGACATAGCACAGTAATTCACAGAGGAACCTGAATTGTTGGTGATTTGAGAAATGAGGCATGTGAATCACAGAAAGACTGCAGAAGGTCTGGAGGATGTTCTGAATATGAGCAAATGCAGAGTTATCCCAAGACTGACATGTTGGAACAGCACCTGGTGAATCCCAAAAGCAGCTGGTGTGCAAGTGGCAGGCAGTAGTGAAAATAGAATTTTCAACCCAAAGCTGTGCCAATTTTCTGCAGGATCCTACCCAGCACCATTTAAGTAATTGGAAAGATTCCTGTTGGCTTCACTCTGAAGACTCCTACTCACCTACACCCTCACTCTAGCCAGAGCCCAGCTCCAAAACGGACACCCACCAGGTATGGCTCTCTTGCAGAAGTGACCAAGACTGAAAGATGTTGGTGGCCCCCCCACTTCCCTTGGCAGCCACTTGTGAGCACCAACAAAAGCTGTCAGACACTCTGGAAGGCAGCAGGGCCCCTTGCAGGCCAAAGCAAAAGCTAGCAAAAGCCCCAGGGCACTCTGGAGGGAAGCAGGACCCCTTGTGAGCACCCACAAAAGCCATCAAATAGGATTAGTGGGTTAAGAATTAGGGTTTAGTTATACTGTTGTGGTTTAGATTTAGAGCTAAGGGATAGGTTTAGGCTTTAGAGTTCAGGTTTAGGGGTTATGGTAGAGTGTTAGGGGTTGGTGGTAGTTGTGAGAATTTGGAGTTGGGGATTATGGTTAGATTCAGGGATTTAGATTCAGGATTTATAGTTAGTGTCTTTATGATTAGGTTTACATTTTGGGTTTAGTTAGATGGTTAGAGTTGGGGTTACAGGGTTAAATTTAGGGGCTGTGTTTAGTGTCAAGTTTTGTAGTTAGAGGGTAGTGTTTTGGTTTAGGTGTTAGGGTTAGCATTAAGTTTTAGGGTTAGAGTTTGTTTTAGGGGTTAAATTTAGGGTTAAGATTTAGTGTTAGGTTTAGCTTTATGGGTTAGATTTAGGGTCACTGTTAGGATTTAGTGTTTGGGTTAGGGCTAGACTGAGGTTATGGTTTAGAGTTTGGCACTTTATTTTTTTAATACGTTGTGAAGGTTAACAAATAATAAGAATTGTCATGGATATAGTATCTGTCAGATTTGGCAGATTATTTGTCCTTGTTGCACATGCTGTTTTTAGAGGGCAATGTGAGTTCGAAACTGAGTGAGTTGCTGCGCATAAGAACAGGTTATTCATCTATCACAAACAGGATTTTTTCAACAGAGTTAGTTGACCTAGGTACCACATAGATTCCAGATGACACACAGGATGGTTTAGTACAAGTCTAAACTGTCAATAAAGACCTCTGGGTTTGCAAAGCCAGTCAGACATGCAAGTGATACAAATCCAGGAGGAACTTCTAGTACTTTGGAAGACAGACTCATCAAATAGACATGTTTCCTGACTAAATGAGAGAACTGTTGGTGTCACTCAGAAGATTCATGGAAAGCAGTTCATGCAGGCCACAACTGTCAGATGCACAAGTAGAAGAGTGGCAAAGAAGGAATAGATCAGAAACTGCTAGATATGATGACTAACAATAAAAGTAAATAGCCTGATGCTCCTTGTAAGAGGAGCAGATGCCAGGCACACCAACTAACACTGGAAAGTGCATCCCAAATCATAACAGCCAGGCTGTACTCTGCTGTCCTTTGCATGTGCTAAACTACAGCATACAGCAGGAAAGAACTAACAGAAAAAGGCAAAAATGCATACACAGGTTGAGAAGCACAACAGAAACAATAAGCAGTTTCATAAGAAGGGAATAGAGTCAGCAGTGTTTAATCCAGGAAGATAGGCAAAACAGGGATGTTATGACATTTTAAGGGTGAGCAAAGGTACATTGTGCAGAATTTAGATAGTGAATCAGTAGTCATGAGGCATGGAACAAGCCCTGATCTAGTGCATCTTTCATAGAGCTAGTAAAGAATGGACTATGTATTTATACTACAGCTATGCTCTGGGATGGAAATTAGAGAAAATAATTTAAAACCCAATTATTAAGTGACTTAATAGTCACCCTTGACATCCCAGATGAGACCACAGTTCTCTGACCTGAGCTGATACTGTAAGAAAGTCTTGTTCTTGTTTTGTGCAGGAATAGCAAAGTTGATGGGCTGTGTGATGCCAGGATTTGAGGCTGATGATTTATCTGTGTTCAATCGCTGGATTTCAAGTTGAAATAATGGAGATGACAGAGCAGAAGACTTGATGCCGTAATTCCTCGCAGCATTTCAACTGAGTGGCAGGATCTTTAATGAAGCAGCAGAGGTAACAGGAATGTAGCTCTAGCAGCTGGAGTGCAGAGAAGAGAAGCCTGACCAGAAGAACAGGGTCTGCAAGTCTGGTTGCTATGTATAAGACCACGAGATGATAAGCATTGCCATTCATATAATATAGCTTAGTGCCCAAGAATGCAATGGCAAAACCCAAGCCCCTGTGAGTACATTAGGCATGTACACTCAACATTTCTGCAAAGGTTTCTTAGAATTGAGAACTCTAAAACTGTTCTTGCTGCAAGGTTTTCCCAAGAAAATACTTCAGTTCTGCTCTGAGCCAGCAAAAAGTAACAAAATCCAGCTTCCCAGAGTACTGGCAAGGGGAACAAAACCCTTCCCACACAGAAATGGGAGTTGTGTCCACTCACACTGAGGCAAGGAGAAGGGAAACATTCATGGCAATCTTTGGAGATTTTTGGAGAAAGTGCTGTCCTCCTGTCCACAGAACAACTGCAAATTGTTCAGAGAGACACTCTTGTCTCATGAACAGAAGGTATTGTAAAGTCATTAAAGGGATAGGGTAAATTTATTACAGAAACAGAAATCGGGGTGACTAGGGACAAATAGAAAACCAAGAGCAAAATGCCCACGCGGCACACCAGGACAAGCAAGAGGGTCCACTGAAGGGAGGGATATCTCTCAAGTTGAGGCACTCCCAGCAACAACAGCTTCCAGCACCCATTTGCCTTTTTCTCACACCCCAGTGAATGCCTCAGCCTAGAACGCAGCAAGGTTAGGGGCACATGAGCCTCACCCTCATCTCTCTTTCATGGCAGCAAGTCTCCTCAGCCCTAGACATGGGGGATGCAGCCAGTCACTGACCAGGCTCTTCAGAGGCATGTAGAAAAGGCAGCTCTTGACTCAGTGCTTTAAATCTCAGGACTCCTTCCTCCAAGTCGATGCAACACTAAAGAAGGGGAGAGTCAGTTACTTGCTGGACATTTCAGATAGCAAATCTCATGATGTCTATGACTGGGGAAAATCTGTAACACCCCTTTGGCTTTGTAGCAACCTTACAGTTTCCCTCCTTGTTCCCTATGCTGCCTCTTTGCTCCTGTTCCCTTCAATGGCTTCCTCTCCAAACCCTTCACAAGGCCATTCCCCTCTCTTCTTCCTGTGACTCCCTCTGAGCTGATGTCCTCACGTCACTCAGCCATTCAGCCCAATGCTTTTCCTGTTTTATGAGTCTGACATGGTTACAAATATATAACATGCAGGAGCCAACTTGCTGCAGCCATATTTTGGGCCACCCAGGAGCCTGGATCAGCAGAGCACTAACCCTGAGCTGAGCTGACAAAAAGAGAGGACTCTATCCACTCATGTCCAGATAGTGTTGGACACTGAATGTGATCATACAGCTATAGCTTAAAGCGAGGGCAGAGCTTGTTCACATCTGCCTTCAAAAGGCAACACAGATTTAAGTCATGACACAGTGTGCCTTGCCTTTTCTCGTCTCCTTTTCAGTTTCCTCTTCCTGTTTGCAACTTGTATGGTCAGGAATACAAAGAATGGGAGATGTAACAGTATCCTATTGGGTGATTCCTTTCTTAAAACTTTTAAGAAGGACTGGAAAAGAATCAGCAACTCAGAGCATACTACAGCCAGTCAGGAAGCTGTGTAACAAGCATTGCCCTGAAAGACCTGGACGTAAGTATTTCTGATGCTTACAGCACTCAGATCTCAAAGAACTTCTGGAGAGGAGCCCTGCAATAAGCAAGAAGCTGTTCCTTACCTTGAGAGACCACAGAGTCTGGAGACCAATGCAAAGCTCCAGCATTTCATCATCTGAGAAGAGAGAAGAGACTGATCAGGCTTAAGATTATGTAATACTGTCACTCCAAAGAAAGTGTGTCTCTCCTGTAAGAGGATATGGAGTACAAGAACACCTGACTAATAAAATTATATGGCTATGGTCTATTCAGTATAAACCAGATAACAAATAACAAGGAAACTGATGAAGGAAACACACAAACATTAACAAACAGGTGGTAGCAGTGAGAGTAATACATCAGCACTCTTCTGCCACTGACTGATAGCCGTTAAAGAAGCTATTTAGGCCCAGACCTGAAGATGGTCAAAATTAACCTTGTACCTGATATGAAAAGGAAACCATGATTATCAGGACTATTATGAGATATTTGAGGGGGGTTGTGGGATTGTTTGAAACTTATGAGGTATCAGAAGGGTCTTGTGGGATCCCATAAAACTTACTATGGGCTGTGTAAGGGAAGGACCAAAGGCAGGAGAAGGCAAGCAGCAGGGTAGATCAGGGAAGAACAAGCATGGAAAAATGGAGAGGAGAGGGGATAAGGGGCCAGTCATATGCAGGCAGACTGTTGGTCAGTTCACTTGTCTCACTGAACTCTGCATCTTATGGCTGCAATCTATCTGATCTTATTACATAATTTTCTTGAGTGTTTTTTTTTTGTGTAACCTTTCTATCCTACATGTGACTACTGCAAGTCTTAAGTGTCAGCAAATTAAAGGGCCAATAGCTCTAGATGTCAGTAACTTGAAGGACTGGCAAAGAGATGCCAGTAACTGAAGGGACTACAGGCCATAGGGCTCATAGGTGTGTGTGAGCAACTGGAGAAGGGGACATTGCTCACAAGGTGTCAGCAAGTAGAGACACCAATGTGCAAGAGACGTCTGTGTGCCAGTTAACTGGGGAAGGGAGCACAGGGCACAGGGCATGTACACATAGGTACTGGAGGGATTGTGGTCTGCGCTGCAAGGTCTAAGTTCCAGTAACTGGAGAAGGACAATGGCTTGTAGGTCTAGGTGCAAGCAACAGTAATCTTCAGTGTAAAAGAGAGTTTTGGGTACCAGCTCTGACTGGGGTCACAAAGGCCAGCAACTGAAGAGGACAAGGCATGTGTGTGAGAAGTCTAAATGCCACTAACTAGAAAAACTTGGGTGCGTTTATATTTCCCTAGTGAATTTGATCCCACAAAGCTGTGGCATTATGCAGACAATTTGCTACCAAACCTCAGTCTGGTCTAGCCAGTGAGTAGTTGAAAACCTGCATCTGGAAAGACTCAACGTCTGGGTCCGTGGCTAGGTAAGGGGCTTAGTGTCCAGACATGGATCTAAGACAGACCTAGAAGCTGTGCTGTTATTTGAAGATTCTCTGAATGTGAGTGTGCTTGTGAATCTAGAGACTGAGGATGTATAAACTTCTGCTGGTGAATTTTGATCCTGGTCAGACAGAGAGGAGGACCAGGACTGGGCTATCTGTTCTGGTGTCTATGTGACTGCTGGTAAAGGCACTGCTCTGTGTGTGGTAATCTGTGTGGCTGACCTTGTCAGTATCCCTTCTCGATGTGTGTCTTTGGAATATACATTCAGCCTTGCAACTTTCTGAACCTGCCACTAAGAACATGCATTGGACTGGGTGACAGTGACCTCCTGGGTCTTAGAGTCATCTGGACTTCAGTGGCAGCTAAGGAGGAATCCCCAGGTCCTGGAGTCTGCAGGAACCAGCAGCCACCAGTAATATGATTAACACTTCCCATGCCTCCTGAATGCCTGCTTGCCCTACTACCAATGGCTGTAATTGGTATTTTTTTTAGAGCCACATAAGTGAGAGCACTGTTTGCACAGGGAGAAGTAAGACACAGGTGTAAGCAATTCTGCTTCTTCCAGGCAGTCATTTCCATATCCCAGCAAAATGCTACTGGGCTAAATTCACCTGCGCTGGTACTAATACAGATCCCACAGGAAGGGCAAGAATAAGCAGAGGGGAAACCAGGAAAGAAGAGTGAGTTGGAGTGTAAGAGGAGGAAGCTCTTTCTAGATGACTAGGAACATGGGAAGAATGGACATGCAGAGAGAGCAAGGGAGGCCTTGGAAGATGAGTAGTACTCATCAAAGATGGGGAAACGGAGAGTTTAAAGCTGGAAGATTAACAGGGATAAACAACAGAGAGAAAAAGACAGCTAAATTGATTTCAGCACATGCACAGCTTGATGTGAATGCAGAACATGCAGCCTTTCTGCTGTGTTCTGGATGTGCCTCAGTGCCTGCTGACTTGACCTCATGTCCTATGTCTCATTTCTTCAAAGGGTCCTGCTTCAGGGCACAGAGGGAGACTCAGCACTCTGGGGCTACCAGGCCTTTCAGTATGTTCCCTGCATCAGAGGCAGATGAATATACAGAGAAACACTCTGGGGAATAAGCTGTACCCTCTGTTGCTTTCTCTGATGACTTCTACCCAGCCAAAGATACAAGTGCCCATTCAATAGGAGAACATAGGGCACCAGAGTACTAATCAAGCCATCTGCATAATTTTAAGAAATTTTAGAATGGAAATGAGAATTTTCCACACCCTTTGTGAAGACCAAAAAGCACCTAATTTCTCCCCACTCTTAATGTCTTCTGTCTTCTCTGAACTCTTCCTATGCCCTTTGCCTTCAGTTGCACTGGAGGTATTCACAGTGCCTAACGATGTTGGCCAACAGTGGAGGTGGCCACTTCACCAACCTTCTACCATGTTACACTTTTCTCAAAGGTCCTTTTAGATGCCCTTGGCAGGGCAAGGGAGGCACAAGAAAAATAGGGGAGAGGAGGGACTGGCACTCTCACCTACAACCAGTGCTGAACACCGCACTGTCTCCTGGCCAAATTGCAACTCCATATGTTCTACTCGGCCAACAACGCTGGGGATGGGAAGTGAGAGGTCTCCACAGTCCATGGCAGATACCTCTTCCAGCCTGTGGGACACAAGAGGTGTTATTGCCTCAAGAGGAGGAAGAGGAGGAAAATCAGGACTTCTCACTGATGACAGTTCTTCTTGGTCTCACTGAGAACAGCCCCACAAGAGGAGGAATCTCTTTTATACAGTATGTCTAGAGGCAGATTCAACATTCAAAACCTCACCACTAGCCATCAGCTGGGCAGCTTTGCCTTGCAGTACACACAAGCAGAATGGCACAGCTCTGCCTCCTCATCTGAGGTCTGCACACAACTTTGCCAGTGCTCCTGATGCCTTGTCCTGTAGCCCACCTCCTGCATCTTCTCCTAAACAGCAATGTGCACGTGCAAAACTGCTACTAATTATCATTGGGGTTGGCAATCCAGAGTGCCCAGATTATTGCCATGGGTTTTCCTTTAGCCACCCCCTCTTTCTACTGTGCAAAGACTTACCCCAGCTGGTTTAAACAGCTCTTGGAGATGAGGTTTTGTAGACACCCAGTGTTAACAGTCGCTTTCAATACCTGACCTTGGCACTAGAAAAAAAACAACAGATAATTAATATGGGCTCAAAATCACCATATTCACTCCCCCAACAGTGTGATTTAGATTTCCTGAGCAACACAGCCACAGATGTGGTGTTTTAGGCAGTAGTCAGAAGGCTCATCCAAGACAATGGTGGTCTCCCCACTGCTCTGCAAACCTCTTTTTGAATTTTTCTTCTTTCATTTGTATTTGATTGTTCAGACACTTCACTGTTATTAGCAACTTTATCTTGGCAGTATTCCAGTCAAGAGATGCATAATTAGTGAATTTGTTCAGAAAACCCACATGGACATTATTAGCAGAGCAATAATTGATATGACAAAAGCTTCTAAAAGAATACAAGCATGCACTACAGTCTTTGTAGTTTTCATCTCTCCATTTCTACTGGTGTTGTGGGAAACAATGTTCCAGGGCTAGATGTTTGTTCCCAGATGAAGAGCTTCCAGAGGGAGAAGTCTGAAGGAGAAACAGAAGCACCCAGGACAAATACCACTGAGATAAGCTTGAGTTTAAGGCAGTTCCCAAGATAACCGACAAATTCAAGTGACTCCTGAATCCAAGACACAACCTCATCATGACACATCTATTTTGCATGTCTGTTGGACTGCCCTGACCCTGGCGGTGTTCAAGACCAGGCTGGATGAGGCCTTGTGCAACCTGATCTAGTGAGGAAGTGTCCCTGCCCATGGCAGGGAGGGTTGGGAATAGATGATCTGTAAGGTGCATTCCAACCCTTAAATTCTATGGTTCTATGATTTGCATTATGTTCTTATACAGTTCTTTAAGGATATATGCCATGACACTACAATAGTTAAAGCTAGTGTCATTCATCAGCAGGAGAGACTGGATGTCCTGCACCCAAGACACCTCTGCATGATCTTACTGGAATAACTCCCAGTACCTTGCTCACTTCATTTCCTCACCCCTTTGCACTTCAAAGGGAAAAGGAGATGTGTTTGCCACCTGTTTTCTGTCCCCTCTGCACGGAGGTCCTTAGTGGCAGGCCAGAGGTGATGAAGTAACAGCAGGTCTCAGATATGTTAGAGCTCTAAAACACATAGGGTCACCAAGGACATCAATAAGAACAACTTTCAGAGGAAAAAAGAAAGAGGAGCAGGACTTAGAAAAAGCACTGGAAAAGATGGAGTAACTGTCATCTACAAAATACATCTTTCACCTACCTAAAGTGCCTAATCATACTCATTCTTGACGGCCTAGTTCTTCAAGGCTCTGTCGTGCAACAACACCCAAGAAAACCCAACCACAAAATTTCCCCTTTGGGAGTCTCATTTTTTTATGCTATGATTTGTGTTTTCCCTGTGATTTTTTCTCTTCCATCCACCGTGGCACTCTGTGCCATGAGCCACTCAGAAGCAGCAACAGAGCTCCCACTGCTTCTCTACCCTTAAGCTCATTCCCGTCAAGTTTAAACGCTTGAACATCTTAAGCAGACCAGCATGACTATGAGGGACTCAGTGAGAGAAAAAAGAAAACATCTCCTATGAGAAATACTGGAATGCTGCAAACAGACACAATACCAACAGGGTCCCTTTAGGCCCAAACTATTCTGTGATTCCATGATCAAATGCTTCCCTTCTGTTTTTAGAACTCTGCACTGTCTGTGCTGCCTGGTCCTCACTGACACATCAGCCCTGCCTGAAAGAATTGTGGTCAGACTAAGCAGAGAAGCAAGAAAAAACCCAGAGGGCAGATGCATGCTAAGCATCTGCCTCCTCATCCTCTGCACTGTGCTTCACAGAAGAGGCTTCCCTGTGCCTCCTCACCCCCTCAGTTGGTGTATTAGCCATGACTGTCAGGTCAGGTGCCACATTTTGCCCAGACTGCAACCTGCCAACGCTGTCCAGCTGAATCAGCTCTTCCTCATTAACAGACATGGATTAAAGAGTTAACCATCCCCATGGCTCACAGAAGACAATTGTTCATTGCCCAGCTACAGAAAAAGCATCGTATCAGCTTTTCAGAAACAGAAGATCTGGAGTATGGATAGCAACTACTAAGGAATCACTTTGGGAACAGGCATACCTGAGACCCACGAGATGCTAGCACTGTTGTGATAATAAGCCTAAACTATATCACTAGGCAGATTCTTGAGCTTTGTTTCAGAGCAGGCTGGGAAACCTGCAAGTTTCTTGCCTAGGATATAACAGGATGGTGATTATTCTGCAGAAAACAACATTTAATCTCAATCAGTGTAAACAGTCCTGCACAGTTATCAGCTTCAGCAGACTCACAAAAGTTATCCACCTTCCAGTTACACCACTGATCATTTGCCCAAAGAAGTCACCAGGAGCCTGAGAAGTTCTTGGTCCAGCATACCACAGAGACAATGCAGAACAGGTAAGGAATACACAGGCAGCAGATGAGCACTTCAAGCCTTCTTGGACTAAGAGGACTTTTCATCACATTACCCAGTCTCATCTCTGCTCCAGAATTTTCAGTCTGTTGCTACCAGTCACCACTGGTCTTTATGTAAGTGTCAATTATGGGGATTTCCAAGAAAGAGAAAGAGGGGAGGGGAGTCAGTAAAGACCACCACAGAGCTGTGTGTGTTTCTGGAATAACATTGATTCCAAAATCAAGAAGCTGCTTTAACCAAACAAGGCGGATTAATCCCAGGTTGCTTTGACATAGAAGAAAGGCAGCCTTGGACAGCAATGAAATCTTTCAGCATATCTTTCTACATCAACATGAGACAAGCCCCATCATAAAAAATAGCAGCTTGATTTTTATGATGCAGATGCCAGTCATGACAAGCTTTCCAAAGTGCTTTTCAGAATCCGTCACAATAAAGGGCAATTCTGCTAAAGTATCATGTGGCCAACCCACCTAAATAAATAATAGGGTGAGTGACTGTAGTACAACTATTATATGTCGGGTCTGTCTGTAGTCTCTGAGACTTAAGAAGGCCTTACTTAGAGCAATTGTAACCTGTTAGAGTGAAAACACGTCTTGCCTGCATCTCCCTGCGTAACCAAAGCCTACATACATTTGGGTTTGTTCCCTAGTCAAGTTCAGTAACTCGTCAGGTGATACATTTGTTACCACTTTGAAATTTTGAGCATACTTGCCTGCATGTAAATGGAAGCTTTATGCTGGTAGATTATGTTTTCTCAGGAGGTGCTCTCAGGGACAAAAAACTTCTGTGGGGTCATGTTCCATTTCTAATAAAAACTGCACCATAAGCAAGCAGTTCTCCAAAAAGTATCAGCTCACCTCTCTGGTTGAAATGAACTGGCAGTTTGAGTCCTATTTCTTCCTGCAGATCTGTTACTGACAGGAGAGGCTTTTTGAAGTTCACAAATATGAACATCAAAAGCAGCAAGAACAAAAAGAAGGGGAGGAGAACTTCCCTTCCTTCAGTGTAAGAAGATTAAGTGTGACAAACAGTGGCTGGCTCTTTAGAAGGGCAGAAAAAGAGAGAAATCTCTGTGCAGAATATAGGGAATGTTACATGCAGCATTAGACCTATTTCCTTGACTGTGATGTTTGTTAAGCTTCCTCCATAAGGGAAAATAAAATGTGTGTGACAGCTGGGATTCAGTCCATTAGAAACACAAAAGGGAATGACTAGTGGACTCTGATGTTGACTTAGCTACTGCCCCTGGGATACGATACCTTGTTCAATGTACATGCCTGCAAAAAACCCCACCCTTTATCACTGAGTTTACTCTTACAGAACAATAAGGACTGGTGATACATTAAAGCCTAAAACACAGGGTAAGCAATGCCTAACTGCAACAGTAAAGGCTGCAAAACAAATCAGACAGTGGCTTTGCTTGGTACCTGATCTAAACCTTTCAGAAACTAGTAACCAGACTGTGTTCATATAATAATTCATTCTGCCAACTGAGTTTTCAACAGTATATGTATTTTTCTTGGAAGTGTAGCCTTTGCGCCCTAACACAGGAGGTGATCTTTAGGACAGGTAACTGAAATAAAAACAACTTTAAAGTAGATTTTGTGTACCAGGTCTATATCATCATTAGTCTTGTGTCTGCATATTACTGAGCAGTTCTAACCATGCAGCCTTCTTTCATGGGGCACAGCTTTTGGATGTGCTTTCTTACCTACAGGGGCCAAGGCTCTGCTGTATAGGAGGATACAAGAAGAAAAGGAAGCTAGAAGTGCTGCTTCCATCCAGAGATACAGTGGTGTTAATTTGGAGCAGAGTTTTCTACTTTCTGAGGAGGTCCTTTGACAACTGAGAGAATTAGACCAGACTGGATCTAGTAAATATAAATCAGCTAGGGGCACCTGTCTTCAAGTGATAAGGAGGTATTCCTTGCTTCTGTATGCAGTTATGAAATACTTCATATCATGGCCTTCAAGGGAAGGAGATGTGATTAAGGTAATTGATCTTCAGATCTGGATAACTAGAATGCATGTAGCAGAAAGGCTTTCCTCTGGCTTTTGGAAGACCTGAATCCAAACTCTAGGAGAGGCCATGCATGAAATCTGCTCTCTCTGGCTGCAGCTGTCTTTCTGCATGGCCCTTGGGAGGGGGGCAGCTGGAACTCCAAGGATTTGCCATCATTGTGAAATCAGCAGCACCGTGTTGTTGCCTTACCTGGCACTGTATTAGCAGGGGTGAAGTCTCTTTTCTCCTGTCCTCTCCCTTTTCCATCTTTTCATCCTGGTCTTTTGCCAGCGGAGATTGAACCCATGCAGGCTGAAGCCTGGTCTCGCCTCGCAGCTTGTTCAGATTGCCTTCCAAGAGGCGCCGCTGGACCACACTATGTGGCTGCTGTCTCCATCACAAAGAAAGAGAAATCCCAGCTAAGTATGGAGCCAAGGACAAGGACATTTGCTAGCTCAGGGAAGAAGGTTGCAAATGCTTGACCCTATTGATCATCCTGATGAAAGACAGGCTTATCCCAAAAAACTTTCTTTAAACCCCAAGATTTTTTTTCTGTAGCTACTAAAGTGATGTTAAACTGTTGGGATGTCTGTGACAGGCAGGTCTCTGGGATGCAGTTATTGGAGGAGAAGAACATGCCTGACACATACTGTTCCTTCAGCTAAACATGCACTCATCAGTCTCATACCTGTTAAGGTACTGCAATACACTACCTGGTGGCTCTGTGTGTGCTGACATTCAACCAGGCACATTCACACTTACTAATCTGGAAGGGGATGAGAAATGTAGCATGTGTGTGATGTACATGTGGGCAAGAAGGCAGGACTCCAGAAGTTTTAGGTGTACAAGCAACTATTTGTAGTAAAGCAGGAAGCCTCCCCTAAACAGAAAACTAAAACTAGTTTATAATGTTCTTTGGAGTCTGTCTCTGCTCCCTGCCATCAGATGCTCTGGGTTTTGCTCAATATTGATCCAGCTCCTCCAGTCTCTGCACAGCTACTGAATCAACAATGGGCAACACCAACAAAATAGGCCTGTTGGAGGTAGCTTTGCCCTTCCTCCATGTACTCAGCCCCATGGTCCTTCTCCAGAAGAGCAGCCACTAAGAGTTAACTATGGCATTCTCAATAACAACTGCCTATGTGAAGAAAAGCGAAGAATCTAAAGGGGTTAATGTGCTACATCATAAACTGTTGCTTTTATCTTTCTAAAAAATAGATTATAAGTCATCTCCCAGATGGTGCAGCAGTTTGATGTATGATCTTGTCAATGTGCAGGCCAAACACCTCAATTAGACCAGGCCTGCTGGTGAGCTGGACCGCATTAATCCCACAGTGTACACAAACTTCAGACTAGCTTTGTGCTTGCTCAGAGGCTGAGGCCAGGGAAGTATGTAAACTGCAACTTGAATCACAGTGACTTGTCAGATTTGCCCAATGGTTGGAGCAGGACAGCTCTCTGGTCACACTCAGCCTTGCTCTTTGCAA